TAGAGGCTCAACCTGAAAAGGGTTGACTAAATACATGGAATTAATTTCAATTCACAGTATAAAAAAATCTTCCTAATTATAGGTTTATACATACATTAGACACTGATCGGGACCGCGGGTTGCCGGGGCTCCGGCTCAAAGTACAGGAGTAGGAACTGGATGGTTTTTAGTCAGTACGAGTCTGACACGGGAGGGATCTCGCCTCACCCAATGCAGAAGAAGTCATTGGATGATTTTCACATAGAAACACACACACACACACATACTACTATGATACATCGGTAAGAACAAGTATAAAGTCATTACATATATTATGTTTGTGTTAACATTTCTCATAACCTGTCTCAATAATTATCTCGCAAATGATCAATTAACATTGAAAACGATAAACAAACTGGACATTAATGAGACAGGTACTGCTATTTACTATACGAGTTGAAGTAAATTATACATAACGTATAGTCATTCATCGTCTAGATTACTACATGGTAGGGATGCTATACAGATTTGTAAACGTAACCAAATCTGATGTCAAAGTTACAGATAATTTTGGGCCTGGGTAAAAAATAAACGAGTGTTATTACGACTTGATTTTGATGATTATCTTCTTTTACATTAATTATCATGTTTTTCGGTTTACTCACGTAACTGTTTGAGGATCTCGACTAGTTTCAAGCCATGGTAGAGGTTCATAACCGAAACCAAATAAGAGAAGTTATTAAGAAACTGGGACTGGAACTGATTCTCACAGAAAGCTAGAAATCAAGCTAAGTAGCGTACTGTTGGAAAAACCTAAATAGGTACAGCAGTATACAAAAATTAGTTAGTGATAATTTGAATCTAAAAGCAATAACCATAATGATGTTTCATTTCTACACCTGCGGTTATATCTGCACGCAGATCTAAAATATCTGTCATATAATATCAGTAACATCTCTTCATTATCCATTATGTATGAACAGTAACGTGTGGTCATTGGTCAGGTAACAGTGACCGCGGCCGGCGCACGCGCAGCCCGACACTTCATTTGCACATGTTCCACAGTTTTTACTTTCACTAGCCGCGAGATTAGAACCACTTTCTGAATGGATGTGGCAATTTTATTGAAAAAGGTCAAGCTACGAAATTGAAAAAATGTTTTTGTGCAATATCCTGGGTGTGTTGGTAAAATGTTATGGCATTAGGTATTAAGTGTACAGCTGTTCTAAATAAAAGTGTTTCATTCTATGTCAGAAAAAATCTAAGGCCCAAATGACTATTAAGTAGGTAGATAGATGCTTAAAAATTCTTGGTTAACTTTTGTAAGGTTGCAAATCATCAAAAAACTCATATGAGTTTTTAAGAAGCATATGATTCGGCCACGGAATATGGATAGTCTCATCCGCGATCTGGCTGATTTTATGTTTTACTTTACAAATACCCAAAAAAGCAAAACTACAAAAAAAAATTAAACTACAATCAACCACAGAAGATCAAAAATGCCACATCCAAACGATACTCGTTTCGCGACCACGTCAATGGACGTCCGCGTCCGGCAGATATTCAAAGTTGGTATTTATTATAATCCGTCCATTAAGAAGTCCCATAAAATCACTTTCTCACATATTGTTACTGCATAGATATAACTTTTGCCTACTCTTCTCCAATATGGAAATTTGAAGTTTCTAAAGAGAGATGTTTCGCCTTCCGTTTCATGAATCAATGTATGATGTAAGAAATTAATGAATAGGTAACTGGTTAGTAGAAATAATTGTTTTTTTATGGTGGTAATTTACCATTTTTAAAAATAGTCGCAGAATTTGTAGCTCACTTGGGTTTTTTCATTTGAATAACACCTAAGCAAACTTAATCTTAAGAAATATTAAACCTCCATATTCCTTTTCTTCTAAAAAGAAATCATCTGCAAAATCCTTGTCAGACATGCGGTTTCTACTTGCTTACTCCTTGTACATTGTAATAAACCATAATATAAATCATAACATACTCTAAAAATCTTTAACATTGGTACCCCACTCAACTTCCAATATAATGTAGTGTGTCAGAACAACGCCACCTACTGCCATTTTTGTAGACTATTAAACATCGTAACAAAGTGAATGTACTACGATGAGAGTGTGCCGTTGGTTAAACCAGTTCAGCATTACTATCATAGATGGCGTTACTTGAGGCTTACAAATAATTCATAATATTTTTACTAGATGTCACTATGCCGTGACGTCACTATTTTAAATGGCGCTATCATTATTTTCTGCAATAGGTTAAATCTCTTGCGTTCTTTAAAATGTCTTTAGTCTGGAACAGACTGCAATAGGAGAAACATGTCTATGCAGAGGTCGACTATGAAAGAACTCTGCAAATTAATAGATGAAAGCGCTGGAAGGTATCTAAATAACTGAACTAATAAATAACATTAATAATCACATAATATACAAATGATTAAGATATTAAGTATTAGACGTAAAGGATCGATCAGGAACATTACTTGTCGTAGAAGTATTTTCACCAATTATGTTTAACTTTGAAATAAACATCAACATAGATAGTAGTCTAGTCTTAGTATTAGATACACATAAGATACAATATTGTTTATTGACTTATAACATTTACAATATCTACTTTACTTGGATCTAAATTCAAATCCGAATCATTTCAATGAGCAATTAGAAATACAACCATATGACCACTTAGTCAATTAAGTCAAATTTTACAATATTTAAAACAAAAAATATTTATTTGCAGAACAAAAAGTTGCAATCCGGTGAATTATGCTCCTGAGGAAGTTTTACCCAATACAGCAGCAACAGTGGAGTTACTTGATAATGAAGCCATCGATAAAGCTGCAAAGTATCGCAGGACATTTCGCTGCTTGGAAATTATAGACGCCAAGAATAAGGATGTTATTATTGATTTAACTAAAGAGTAAGAAATAATAATAAATGAAGAAGTTTTAATATAAATCTTTATGAAAAGAGTTTTTTATTCTGCTTACACATAACTTAACTTCAATGTGCCATGGTGTCATCCCAATAAAACTTATTTTAACATGACAAACACATTGTCAACCTCAAAACTCGTACTTAAAGTATTGCAACTTATACACCAAATTCAAAATAGAACCAGCCACCTCGTACGAAGTCATGGAAAAACACGCCGATCAACCTTAAACCGCAAACAAATCAAAATCTGATCTGAGTTAACGAGAAAAATATGAAAAGTGAATATATTTACGTCATCAATCTTAGTCGGGGGAGATTAATGATAATGACGTGGCAGCAAGGTGGCCTGGATGACGAGTGTTATGAGACGGGCTGCCAGGTGTCGCGTCTCCAGATAATATCGTTACAAGTGCCATAGATCACACAGACACGCGCTACTAAGGACCAGATTCATAATTTTAGAAGCCGATGCTATCGCTCAATGTTCTTGCTTCCTGGGATTAACTCTTTATAGTGCTATTAAAATGTTGTATGATGATCCATGTGCTGCAAGTTAGCTTTGGAGAATCTTAGAAAATTATTTATTAACCATATAAAATGAGTAATCTGTAACAAATGATAAAACTAAATATTCATTCGAAAATTAAAAATAATTACATTATAAATTGTCAACGAGTTCCTTATTTCAAAAGCGTTCCCAGTATTATGGCGATAAGTTTACCTCAAGGTAAATGAGACAAAAATATGTCTAGTGGAAGCACTTTACTTTGTCACGTTATGTGAAATTCTGGAGACATCTTGTTAAGTCTAACGTACTTAGCAAAACGTAACACAGACATTACTTACTCCAGCGCCGACAATACACATAAAGACGAACAACTTCAAAAGCCCAATGCTCCAAGTTGCTCACTTAAAGCAGGTACTAATAATTTGTTCAAATTAAGAGATTTCACTTAGATCTGTTGAACGCATAATTGAAGTCTGCAAGAGAGTTTTAACGGTCGGTAATTAGATAAATTTGTGTATCTGCACGCCCTCTGTCGTCGACCGCAGCTAACAAAAATTTACACAGCGTCCCGAATTTTATCTGCAAGTTAATTGGGCTCGAAGTTTTTGGGATTTCAGAGGTTTACGAGGTAATGTTAAATCATGTAACAGTTAAAATGTACGTACGTACTATTTACGGATAATGGCAAAATTCATTTACAAACTGAAAAAATTTTGACATTTCAGTGTACGGGATGTATACATACTTGTAAAAAATAAATTTACGTTAAAACTAAAGATAATACAATAGACACCCATTAGTTTAATTCCTTCTACAAACAATGCGACACAGTAAACCTTTTTGCCGAAACTATGCCAACTTTACCCATCGCGATAAATATAAACAAAACAACGTTAACCATTTTATCGTTAAGAAAGTAAAAAAGTCTTTAGAGTTAATAAAGTAAAACAAACAGACAGACAATGTAAACGTAGGTGCGATTGCGGCTTGCGCTTGAAAGCAATTCCTTGTCCCACTGAGTGGCGCAAAGAAGCAATTAAGATGAGAAAACGCTTGTACACGCCCAGCGCTGTACTCGGTTAAGCTGCGTCCATGATATGATTCCAAGAAAGACACAATATACTGCAACAAATATTTTCGTTCACAAAGTGCTCTCAGAGTTAACATTTTGACTTTGTTTGAAGAACTTTGTTCTATTTACGTTTGAGCATTTCTTTAAATTAAGTAACGTAGCTAACATTTTCAACTGATATTAAGTTTTCTATCGTCTTATAAATTCAATTTCGCTATTCAAAAAAGTTCTCATTTCTTTCCAACTTGTTCAGTGTAAGTATTCTAATAAATCTTTGAGCTAGTGTTTTATAAAAAAAATAACTTTGTTTCCAATCGATCATGAGAAGTATCCCTAACATTCCAAAAGTTGCGACAATGGCCCATAAAATCGTGGCTTTCTCATGTAACTTAGCTTTACTTATGTATGCACGTGAATCTACTATCCTGCTGAGCTGTCATAGTTCCTCGAGAGCTGGCTGCGACCACTCGTCCTAAGTGGTGACATGCTGAGGCACCGGGCCTTCGTCTTACTTACTGTGAGTCGCTTTTTATTGTTTGCAAAATGTTTTCTTTGGTTGAAAGCTTGTCTCAAACTTCACAGATGTCAGTTGGCGTCTTTTGTTTTAAAGTGACTCGGAGAGTGTATCTGCTTGCTTGTTTCTTTTGAAAGACTGATTTAAATTTTGTTTAAGTTTTCTTTTGCACGTTTGTTATGTGTGATTGCCAAATCAACTGCTGATTCGTTTGGTTTTACATTGATTTCTAGAATTGTATTAGTGTGGTAGGTACGTGTAGTTTATAATGTGAAACTAAATTTTCAGCTACATATTCAGCCACAGTACACAACATTTTCCTTGAGATCACTCTATTAATAAGTGGAAATTGTAGTTGTGATGTGAAAACTTCGTTTTAAAATGTGTTGATTAACGATAATATTAGTAAAATAAAGGTTAAAATATAATCTGATTTTTTTCCCTTTAGCTCTTCAATTTGGCCATTCAAATATCTGCAGAACAAACAATATACTCCGATGGCTGGATCCCAATGTCACATAATGATATTTATGAGCAAATAAGAAGAGGAACAATAACAACAACTCAATATCCTGTTTACCTCAGTACGAAGACATTGGATGATTTTGATAATAATTTGAATGTTGAACAAAGGTCAATAAAGCAGAAAGAAAATAATGTATTTAAAGACATTTCAGCAATGTCCAAGGAACCTGAACAAAATAACATTAAAACAGACAAATTCGATCAAACCACAGTTTACACTACAGAAAATATAAGGAAAGCTAAGAAGGTATGGGATCCCAATATTGATACTAGAGTCGACAATGTTTTGGCTTTGCCAGAAGTTGATTCCAAGCCCAATGTGTCAACTGAGAAAACCTTCGATGTTATAACAGCTGCAACATCAAATACTTACGAAGTGACTGAGCGTGTTGATACATCGCCTGCCGAAGATAGTTACACAACAGAAAGTGCCGGGTACCAATATAATCCGCCCACTGACGAAAACCAAAATCTAACGTCCACATTCTACAGAATCCTGTCCAAATACAATATCAAAACTGAGGATAAACTGCCAAACTATGAATTATCACTGCAGCGTAAAGTTCAAAATCCCGCACGAGACACAAATAGAGTGCTTATACCGTATAGATATAACAGTTTAAATCATTTGCCTGCAGACCCATTGCTCGCCGTTTTCCTATCAAACTATGGGTTCTATTTGCCAAGTTTGTATGGGATCAAAGCTAATTACAATAATTTGTACGGTTATTTGGCCTCTAATAACATTCATAATAACAAACCCTTCGGTTTGTATAAAGTTTTCTCTGATACTGATTCATGGAATTAGTAGTTCATCAGTTCAGTCATGTTGTTCTTTGGTAATTATAATTTATTTGTTTTGTTGATGCTAAAATTAGTTTTCAAGTGTTTGTTTAACGAACTTATGTTTATTTATAACTCTCGTATTTGTTTTTGTGAACTATATTATTAGATGTGTTGTTAAAAATACCTAATTGTTCAAATTAAGTGCTTAGACTTTCCAAGATTGTGCGTTGGTGGTTGCGAAACTGCTTATTACCTACAAAGTTCTATTCCAAAATGACAATACGTAGGTACTGTTCATATGTTTATATCTTTCTATATCGAAACTTTCAGTAGCAGCCCGAAGCATAGATAACTCGTTTTATTGGTTAAATGGGATTAAAAACATAACCGACAAAAGGGGGGTAACCTGTCCCACATCGGAGGCAAACAGACAGGAACTTATTATATTGCCGACCTCATTTCTGATGTTGAATCACTGTTTCAATATTATCTGTTCTTATACTATACATAAATAATATTTACACTGCCGAAGTAATGAATATCTGGTGTGAGCATAATTTAATAAAAAGTATTTAATAGGCAAACTTATCGCAACAACTTTTAATCAGCGAAGATAACTAACCTAACATAAAGCCTTTAAAATCCTTCACCATTACAGAATAACAAAAAATTGGCAAAAGGACATTTTTAAAAAAGCAATCCGAGTACCGCATCCACTGCATAAAGCGAGTCCAGTCAACAATGGACGTTATGTGTGATATCTTAAGATTGTAATTAGATCGGGCTCGGTTAAATAGAGGCTGGGCGCTTGGAGTAGTTCCAACAGCCACAGGCGTGACAGTTTCATAGCGCGCTGTGAGAAGTTGCCTTTGTACAGGAGCCAGTTTGCACCACTTTTTATAATGCTTTTTACTCGTTAAACGTCCCGGATTTTGTTTCTGAGACTTTAAATCTTGTTAATTTTGGATTGTTTGTAAACTTTACTCAGCCATATTAAAGTTTAGCAAATTATAGGACACTTTTGTACGCTGCTGCAGTTATTACGTGTTCTGTTGTTAGTACCGAGACTTGAATTGTAATTACCTCCTTTGTCATGTAAATGTACGTACAATTCGACACAAATTGTAAAATAACACTGAAACCTATTCAATTTGCGGCTAGCTCGCAATTGTGTTTTTTGTTACAATATTGTTGTGTTTGCATTTGTTGTAATAATACTGTGTAAAATATTTCGACATTACAATATTTCGTTTTTATTTGAAGTAAGCAATTTAGGTAAGAATACATCTCATCAAGACATCACTTCAAACTTAATGTTGGAGTTGACGAGGGCCACGGGGCGCGGGGCGCGGGGTGCGGGGGTCGCGGGGCATGCCTACGTCAAGGCGTCGATCGGTTCGCAATCAGGCGGCACATTCTTATAAACATATTTTCCGCATGGAGGCCTCCAATGAAGGAAACTTAATAGAATTGATCGTAGAAATTTATTCCGTGATTTAGTTCATGTCTCACGACGTACTTCGTTTAATAAACATGTCTTGATGTTTTAGTATTGTAATAAATTAACCAAAGGGAACACGTTTATGGTTCAATTAAACCACTTCATTCGTTGCGTGTAATGGTTATGTTAACGTTCTAATACAAAACCAATTTTCGTATTCATAAGTCGTAATACAGACATGTTGGCACCTAGCTGGCAGGGCTTTCATTTAAAAATTGAGCTATAAAAACTGTGACTGCATTTCAAGAAAATCGTATTGGATATTTTAGAACTGGTTCGTGATTTAGCAATGCAGCGTTATACGAAATGCTAGTCGCTTTATTTCGAAGGATTTCTGCGTGGAATGTATTGTTGGAGAGGCGCACAGTTGTGTCCAATGTCCATGTCCGGGGAGTAACTCAGTACTTGTGAATATTGTGCCACGCAAACAGCGCAGCGCTGGAATCACTCCAAGCCAATAAAATGGTGGCCGTGCTCAATTTGTTACTTCATACGAGAATACGAGAACTGCACACTTTTAATATAGTTCGCATGCGTGCATTCTTTGTTTGCAAAGTTTATGCGAAATACAGGATAACGGGTCCATAGAAAGCAATGTTGTTTTCGAATGGAAATACATTTTAGCGGAATGAAATTAATTTGACTACGATATTACTGAGTTGTTTGGTTAACAGTCTTGTTAAATACATAAATACATTGTTTAAACATGAGTTGAATGTTTTTCAAGATGAATGTGTTGTGGAATGAAAATGTGCAAATAAAGTCAATTCGGAAAAATCATTATAATCTGAACATAAGTAAAAAGTATAATGTAATGAAAATATAGTTCTTCTGAACAAGTTCGTAGATAAGTTAGTGCAACTAGTTAAGTACAAAAGCTGGTGGTTATTGTGCGTAGTGACCGGAAAAGTTGTATATTTTCCGCGCTCCGGACAAATGCCGCAAATGTGTTCCATTTCCGAGCTGACACTGTTGCGCTGGGAATTCTTCACAACATTACATATTGTAACAAATTACATTGTAACGTATTTTTGTAACTTGTGCGTTTTTGTTGAAATAATGTTGTTACAGATTCCTTACGTACCTTAAACTTAGATTCTACTTTAATTAAGCTTTAGCTTACTACTATTAAATGTACTAACAATAATTATAATTAATTATCATTATAATTATATGGAATTTTGTCACACAACCTTTCCTTTCGCCCTTAGTTCGCCAGATAACTGAGGATAACTAAATATCTGCAATATAAAATCATAACCCACGTTTTGCCCCAGCATAGTCAACAATAATTATCATTGAAATAAAAGTTTTAACAGTATAGTCTTACCCATACCCAAGTTCTACAGAAAATTCATCCGCCGAGTTTCCTTTATATTTTCTTTTTTTTAAAGAACAATACCGTGCATGCATAAACCAGAGTGTGTAGTAGTACGTGTGGCCATATACGTTGCAATGTATCGACTACACAAACATACATATAGTATCGAGTGGGTTGGTGCTGGTGGACTGGAAGAAATGTTTGTCTCCAATACGTAGTGGTTTATTCATTAGACCGGCATCGTTGGGAGCGCGCCCAATAAACTGCTGATAAAACTCCAACTGGACCAACCACACTTTGTTCTACGGAACCCGCGGGTGGTTGAAGTTACATACTTTTTGGACAATTCATGTTGGGTGAGTTCCCAGTGTAGTATAATATCTTTTCTCTTTTTGGGTTAAGCCGAGTAACGAGCTGACGGATCACCTAATGGTTAGCAATCGGCGTCACCCATGGACACCTAAAACATCAGAGGCGTTATAAGTGCGTTACCGACCTTTTAGGGATTAAGAAATTGAGAATTGTTGGGGATTCAGGAATTGGGGAGATTGTGGAGGGAGTGAAGTAATTGCGCCTCCGGTAAATTTCACCGTCACGTCGGTTTTCTGTGAGGCCATGGTATCACTCCTGTCCGGTCGAGCCGCCCCATTCGCGACGAAGCGTGGCTCTCCCACACTTACCCTTTTTTGTGCCAGCGATCATTAGAGCGATATAAGTAGATATAGTGGCCATAAATCTGTTAAATAGAAACCATTAATTAATTCTGATGATAGAGACTATTATCTTTCATTGGTAAGTTTACTAACATTTAGTAATTACTAAAAGTGTTGCTGTAATGGTATCTGGACCACCTCTAACATAATAAAATCGCTTATGTTTATGTACTTGTACCACAGTAACAAACTTATTGCTTCTCTCGATGTGAAAACTTCAGATTTACTTCTTTTTATTTTGTTCCCAACTTGGTTTACCGACTTTAATGAGCCTGATGAATCGTTTATACTTAGTATTACTTAGTAGAACTACTCAACTAAATCAATACTCGCTGCAGGACGCGTTTCGCTTCAACTTTCCAACAGATTCTTTAAGAAAATAAATTAGTAAAGTATGTAAAGCTACTATATTTTTTCGATTGTAGGAATTGACTACCTCGATAGCCGAGTGGTCGCAAGTGTGACTACCGGGCAAGGGGTCTCGCGTTCGATTCCGGGGTGGGGTAAGGTATTGCTGGGATTTAAAAAAAAACTCAGTAGTAGCACGGAGTCTGGAATTGTGCCCAGTATATGCCAATAGGCTCACCCCCTATTACAGGGACTTATAACATAAATAGTGAAAAGTGGGTGTTACATTGTACAGTGGCATAATGTGCTCCTCTGCCTACCCCTTCGGGGATAAAAGGCGTGATGTTATGTTATGTATTCGATGGTTATTTTATAAAATTTCTTCTCATTTTTTACGCTCATTATTTCTATAAAATTTTACATTTCTTGAAACTGTTATATGTATAACTACTTAGAATTACATAAAATGTTCACCTCTGTTTAGCTCCCCAGTGATCAAAAATCATACCATTATGTTGTTATATCAAGAAAATAAAACATAATTTGACATTTTAAAATTCTCGTTGCACACAAAAGTGTCAACAACGAACTTCCCTCATCTATTCACAAGTTTCTTATATAAAATTCAGAATATAAGAGAGAGGACAATAAATTCAGTCGCAGTACATCATAATCCCGCCACAGTTACCAGCTCAGCATGCAGACCACGCGCCTCCATCCAAGCCCTGCCATTTGTCACACAAATGTTAGCATTTAGGCGACGGATCGTATGTGCAAGTTTAACCTAACTACACATCAGGACAGATCATATTTTTATATATTTAAGTACTAGCTGTTGCCTGCGGTTTCACTCGCGCTCTTCTAAGCAGTTAAAATAGAGTTATGTATTTTTTTTTATGGCGTAAGCCGGTAAACGAACAGTCGGATCACCTGATGGTAAGCAATCGGCGTCGCCCATGAACACCTGGAACACCAGAGGCGTTACAAGTGCGTGCGTTACCGGCCTTTTGGGGGATTAGGAGTTTGAGGATCGTTGGAGATTCAGGAATTGGGGAGATTGGGGACCGGGAGGGTGGAATTGGGCCTCCGGTAACCTCACTCACACGACGAAACACAACGAAAGCGTTGCTTCACGTCGG